ATACCTCTAGGGCCATTGGATCTGCCAGGTCATTACCATCCAGGAGACAGGGAAGCTTGTACTACCACCTGGAACTGCTTCAGATTCCCGTGATGCTCTGAATGCCTGTTGAAATTGACAGCCTTGTGGGATATCTGGTAAAAGGGTCACAGCAGTATTTATGAAGTGTAGTACATGTTGTTTCTAAAACCCTAAATCCCAAATCCATCAGTGTGCTCTTTTGTTGTTGATGCAGTAAGAGGTACAAAATGCAACAACTTGACCCTTATTTTAGAGGAATATCCTTACATATATCAGGCCAATGGACATCTAAAAACTCCATTGATGTAGCAAGCCCTAGATTTTTATCGGATTGATTTACCACCCTCTGGGAAGCAAGAGGAGACTAACAATTTTGGCTACTAATATAGAAGAAAACCAAGAGACTGTGAGTTCATGGAAGTCAAGGGAAGCCAAGTCAAGTGAAGAAAGTATTTAAGGAAAGAATGATTTTTGCTTAGACATTGATGTGTAGGTGTATCTTAAGAAATGAGTTTTAACTTTGGAAATGTGAAAATCCTGATGGGGCAGTTTTAATGGAGTTTCAGAGGTGAAATTCTAATTAGAATTGGTCTAAGAGAAAAGGAGAGAAGAAGAGGAGATGAATCTTTTAAGGAATTTGCTATAAAGTAATACAAAGAAATGCGGGGTATAGAGAAAGTTCTTTTTTTTTTTTTTCTTTTTTAAAAAGATGTTTGACTGTCAGATATTATGCAGGTGGAATGACTTAGAGGACAGGAAGTTGAGTAGTGCAGGGCAGGAAAAAAGTCCTAGATGGAAGAAGATAAGCATCTAGGCCATAAGCAGAAGTTTTGGCCTTAGACTGGAGTACAGACTGCTCCACTGTAACAGAAAGACAGGCAAGGTGTAGGAGTCTAGAGGGAGAGAGAGTGGAAGATTTGCTGATGGGAGGAAAAGGAAGGTCTCTTTTGAACACTTGTGTTTTCTCAGTGAAATAAGATCTCCAGCAGCACTGAGCAATGGATGGCAGGGTATGGGAGGCTTAATGAGAAGAAAATGATGTGTTTCTCAGAGGCCTGGAATCATTGGGCTGGAGGATGGCAGAGGGATGGCCCAGAAGTCCTAAGGGCCACTTGAGGCTTGTGGTTGTACATTTAAAAATAGTGATTAACAGCAGTATCATATCCGATGCTCCCTTTGTATAACAAATACTTTGTAATAATCCTTTACTATACTAAAATAAAAATGCATAGTTAAGATAAACTACACACCAATATGATTCCTAAAGAAATGCCTGTCTAGTGATACTAATAGTAGTAAAAGAAAAACAATTTAAAAACAAAAGTAATATACATTTCAGTATAAGTTTTCAGTACAGCTATACTGGATGACATGATTAAGTTTGCAGGTTTGTATTCCTATGTGTAATATCAGCTGAATATGTGAACTACAAATGCCAAATTATACAGTTATGTTATACCCGTGACTTAAAAACCATGAATGGTAGTGTCATTAGTGATAGGACTTTTCCAAAAGAGTAAATGACACATGAAGCATTGAACAAATTTTCCTTCTTTGAGATATTGGAGGGTGTTGCACTCTTAGAAAATTTGGTGTGTATTATAATCATGCAAAAATATTTTGTTTATTATAAAAGGTAGTTTGGTTTTTGACTCAGATAAATTGGTATTCACCTAACATCAATCTTTGGAGGGAAATTTGAAAGTCTGTGGTATACAGAACAAACTTTCTTTGTGTAGGACTTCCCCAAACTTTGAAGGGCATTTGGTATTCTTCATTCCCTGCCAGTTGAAATGAAAGTAACGTCCTCCAATCATTGTGAGAACCCCAAACTCCTCAAATTCTCAAAACACTCTGTAATATATCCACACTGCCTCCCACTCTCCTTGATCTCCATTGATTTATTATGATTCCATTAGTAGTTTTTTATGTGTTTTCTCTAGCCACTGTTCCACTGTTAATGTATAGACCTACAGGAGGTGACGAATTGGACCAGGGCTGGTTTCTTTCTTTCTTTCTTTCTTTCTTTCTTTCTTTCTTTCTTTTTTTATTGACTACAAAGAAGGAAGGGTAGGGCAAGGAGTCAGGAAAGGAAGGTGGCTGTAATGCTGAACCATGAATCCTACCTAAGTGTAGAGGGAAGAGTAGACCTGGCTGGGAGGTATGGAGTGTGACAAGGTGATAGGAACAATGGTTTGGAACACCTGGTAGAGTGAAGAATTGTTATAGTGGGCTACTTAAATGTGTGAACTAGAGAAAAAGGAGATGATGGTGAGAAAGTGGGCTTCTTGCAATTGATATTTTAGAAGTGGTACAGTTATTTGTAATGACCAGTCCATGAGAAGGGTAGCTGATATGAAATGGAATTAAGATGATTAGAGGCACTGAGAGGCCAGAGGGGATTGTCTACTTAGATTTTTAAAAGACATTGAGTGATTACAGGAGCAAGAGGGGGAGAGACAAAAACAAGCCAGGATGGTAAAATCTTCAATAAACGAGAAGGAAGGCTGCAGAAGAACTGGTATAAATGCAATAAGGAAGGGTAATAGATGCTCTGGGCTACTAATATGTGCTTCGAAGCAAAGACCTTTGGAGAAGGATGAAGGAACAATAGTCTGGAAGTGGTTATGAGGAGCAAGAAACAGAGCTTCCACACATACCTTCAGGGCCTGGAGAACTTGAGATGTGGATGAAAAAAATTACAACTAGAGAGGTTTGCAATAAAAGCAGATCCTTAAGGGATTGCCAGGTATTCAGGAAAATAAAAATTGATGTGAGCCAATCATGTGTATTCCCGTCATTTTCACCAGCAACAACAGGAGCTTGCCATCTTCTGAGATTTATTCACTTTCCCATAGTTCAAATATGTTGCCTGAAAGAATGAGCTTTCCATTTCTCCTTAGACTTCGTTTCAAGTGGTTGAGTATCTGATGTATGTAGCTAACACTCTGGGAGGCACTGGGGAAATTAAACACGATTTCACTGAGAAGAAGAGAAATGTAACACAGGGGCTATATGCCATGGCTTATAAGAGACTTCAACTTGGTTCAACCTGGTTCCATGTTGGTAAGGAAGAGGTCTTCCTTGCCACCCCACCCCTTGCTGCCGAGGCCCCAAGAATTTCCATCAAGCTTATAGGAGATTTAGTATCGCAAATGGTTCTGACTGGGGCTAGGCTATTTCAGAAAACTTTTAGGCTCAGATGACCACCACATATGCTCAAAAAGTATAAGTGATGGGTTGCTTCTTGTATTCTCACTCATTAATCAGTGATTTATTATATTAATAAATGTCTATCATTTCCTCTCTAGGCTCAGTATGACTCACTATATATAGTGATTATTCTCTTGCCATAATGTTAAATTTTATTGGCTAGTACTGATTTAGGAGTTTTACATCTTTAATTTTTTTTAAACTTCTTTTTAGCATAACAGAATTCATTGTTTATGCACCACACCCAGTGCTCCATGCAATACGTGCCCTTCATAATACCTACCACCTGGGTCCCCCAACCTCCCCTTCAAAACCCTCAGATTGTTTACTGTATTATTTCTTAAATTATCACTGATAGACTTTATTATGAAGCTTATCTCTCCTTCATGGAATAAATTAACTAGTTTTCTATATATTTATGGTTTAAAATATTTTATATAGCATGAAAATGATCTCTTTCATGAGCTGTGAAGTTATGTGAGCAAGGGCATGTTCTTTATTTTCTGGTTCAAATCTATGAGGTTTAAAAAAATCATTTATTTCATTAGAATTTTTGCATTTATTAACTTACACATGCATAATATACTCTTTCAATCTTTTCTATGTCAAATATTTAGCTCAATTTTCCGTTTGGTTTGTATTATATTATTCTAGATTTATTTGCAAGAGATTTGCTAATTTATTTTTATTTCAAAAACATTTCTTTGAACCAGTCTACTGATGTTCTATTTTCTAATTTATTTATTTCTATTTGGATATTATTTCCTTTCATCTATTTTCCATGGAACAATTTTATATATATTTTAAAATAATTGACTTGAATGTTTATTAGTTCTTCTTCTCAATTTTGCTTTTAATAAAAAAAAGCGCTTAACATTATGTATTTACCTTTGAATGTAATTCTAGATTATACATTTTCACTACTTTCTAAACAGCTATTGATCATATTTTTTTTTCTTCACATGACATAATAGTATTTGGGGAGACAGAATGTGTTTTGTTTGTTTTAAGGATTTCATTTATTTATTTGAGAGAGAGAGCGCACGCACAAGAGAGAGCACTAGGACTTGGGGAGAGGGAAAAGCAGGTTCCACACTGAGCAGGGAGCCTGATAGGAGCTTGATCCCAGGACCCTGGCATCATGGCCTGAGCCTAATGCAGACACTTAAACAAAAGCAGATGCTTAATTGACTGAGCCACCCAGATGCCCCAAGAATGTGTTTTTTTAATAATGTTATTGGAGTTGTAAATTTAAACTTCTATTTATATCTAGTTTTATTCTATTATTTTCCACAAAGTGTGGCTTTTTAATTTTCATTTTAAAACTGTATTTAAGTTTACATTGTAAGTATGTGACAAATACTACAAATGTTCAAAGAATTGTTGAGAAAGATATTTTTTGTTAGTAGGCTACAATGTATATAAATAAATAATACTAATATTTATTAGTTATACCAGTCAGATATTTCATATCCTTATTTGTTACCCTAAAAAAATTTACTGGGCGGTTTATCTCTGTTTGTCTTGTAATGATGTCTCTCACAATAATTGTGTTAATGTCAGTTTCTCTTTGAATGTCTAAAAAGTTTTTTTTTTTTTTCTGTTAGTATTGTTATTTATGTCATTGTTATTATAAAATGGTTATTTACTGACTTTTACTTCAAATTCCACTGTTATGACACTACCAATTTTTCCTGATTTTTAAAAATATTTTGAAGTGATATTTAATTTTACTAAATTCCTTTTTGTCTCTTATTTTGTTTTAGGTGGGCCATAAAACATGAAGGGACTAATAAGCCAGGCCAGTGGAAACATTCCAGAGTTGAAAATCCGCTCTGGAACAAGCTTACCTACATGTGGCCAGTTCTTCCCAGTGGACAACTTAATGAGGTTGTATCTTTAGTATAAGAGGTGGTTGTTGAGATTTTTCTTTTAGGCCCAGTATGTGCTCATTTTTTTTTGAAAATTTCCATGAATCTTTTAAATTATATTTATTAGGTGCAAGAGATCAATTAATTCTGCTTTTGTACCAATTCATTAGAAAGATGCATTTAAGTCTCTCATTATGAAAATGAACTTATTTCTTCTTGTGGTCTGTCAAATTCGTTAGAAAGATGTATTTAAGTCTTTCATTATGAAAATGAACTTATTTCTTCTTGTAGTCTGTCAAATTTTACTTTATATATTTTGAAATTTAGTTCTTAGACACATACATATTTAGAAATATTATTTCTCCCTAGTGAATTGAAACTTTTATCATTATGTAGAGACTCTTCTATCTCTAGGGAAAAAATCTCAGTTGTACAATATTAATAGAAATAGGCCAGCTAATTATTATTATTATTATTATTTGCTTAATATATTTTCTTTCCATCCTTTTATTTCTATATTTTTATATCTTTCTGTTAGAAGGGTCTCTAATAATCAGCAAATAGTTAATATAAAAACAATTATCTGACAAACTTTATCTCCAAACTAAAGGATTTGGTCTTGTCTATTTATTGCCTTAACAGATATATTTAGATTATTATTTGCTTCCTATTTGTTCTGCCTTTCCTGTGTTTCTTTTTTTCTCATTCTTATGTTCCTTTAGATTGATTTTTTTTCTCCGTTTGGAAAAAAAGCTCTACTAGTTTGGAAATTGTACACTCCATTTCCATTTTTTTTTGTTATTACTTCTTTTCCACTCTTTTTTTGTTATTACTCTGAATGTTGCAGCTTGCATATGTAAATGATCAAAATCTAAAGTTAACAAATGTATTTACTCTTCTCTCAAATAATCAAGAACATTAGAAAACCTTAACTTCAATCACATGATTTGTAACAAGTGCTATTATTTTCGTGAATTTTATCTCTTTGTATTTATTTATTTACTTATTTATTTTTATTATCATGTTCAATAAGCCAGCATATAGTACATCATCAGTTTTTGATGTAGTTTTCAACAATTCATTAGTTGCCTGTAACACCCAGTGCTTACTACCACACGTGCCCTTCTTAATACCCATCACCCAACTACCCCATCCCCTCATCCCCTCCATTCTGTAACCCTCAGTTTGGTTGCTGGAGTCCAGAGTCTCTCATGGTCTGTCTCCCTCTCTTATTTCTTCCCCTTCAATTTTCCCTCCCTTTCCCTATGGTCCTTCATGCTATTCCTTATGTTCCACATATGAGTGAAAACATATGATAACTATCTTTCTCTGCTTGACTTATTTCACTTAGAATAATCCCCTCCAGTTCCATCCATGCTTGATACAAATGGTGGGTATTCATCCTTTCTGATGGCTGAGCAATATTGCTTTGTATATATGAGCTACATCTTCTTTATCCACTCATCTGTTGAAAGGCATCTTGGCACAAAACAAACACATAAATCAGTGGAACAGAGTAGAGTCCCCAGAAATGGACCTTCAACTGTTCAGTCAACTAATCTTTGACAAATCAAGAAAGAATATCCAGTGGGAAAAAGATAGTCTTTTCAATAAATGGTGCTGGGAAAATTGGACAGCCACATGCAGAAAAATAAAATTGGACCATTCTCTTACACTGTACACAAAAATAAACTCAAAATGGATGAAGGACCTAAATGTGGTACAGGAATCCATCAAAACCTCCTAGAGGAGAGCATAGGCAATAACCTCCTTGACATTGGCCACAGTGACCTCTTTCAAGACATGTCTCTAAAGGCAAAGGAAACAAAAGCAAAAATAAACTTTCAGGAATTCATCGAGAGAAAAAGCTTTTGCACAGGAAAGGAAACAGTCAATAAAAGTAAGAGGCAACCAAGGGAATGGGAGAAGATATTTACAAATGACATTACAGATAAAGGGCTGACATCCAAGATCTATAAACAACCTCTAAACTCAACACCCAAAAAACAAACAATCCAGTCAATACATGGGCAGAAGACATGAACAGAGACTCCTCGAAGAAGACATACAAATGGCTAACAGACACATGAAAAAATGTTCAACATCACTAGCCATCAGGGAAATACAAATCAAAACCACAATGAGATACCACCTTAGACCAGTTAGAATAGCAAAAATTAACAAGACAGGAAACAACAAGTGTTGGTGAGGATGTGGAGAAAGGGCAAACCATCTTACACTGTTGGTGGGAATGCAAGCTGGTACAGCCATTCTGGAAAATAGCATGGAGTTTCCTCAAGATGTTAAGAATTTTATAATCTTAAAAGCTTCCACAAAATATTAAATTGTTATGGGTAGCAAATATTTATTTGGATTTGGACCCATTTTTCCTCTTTCTTATTATAATTCCTTCTTTTAAAAAAAGAATTTTATTTATTTGACACAGCCAGAGAGAACAAGCAGGGGGAACAGCAGAGGAAGGGGAAGCAGGCTCCTCACTGAGCAGACAGCCTGATGCAGTACTTGATCCCAGGACTCTGGGATCATGACCTGAGCCAAAGACAGATGCTTAATGGACTGAGCCACTTCGGCACCCCTTCTTATGTCTCATTTCTTCCACCTGTGATTACTTTCCTTCAACCTCATATACCTTTCTTTTAGTTATTTGTAGCAAACTCTTTCAGTTTTTACTTACATGAAATGTCTTTTCCCCTCCTTTATATAAGGTATTTTCACATAGAAAATGGAAGATGTCATCACAGACTTCTAACATCCATTATTGCTATCTGGTAGTCATCTATCATTCTAATTGTTATCCCTTTGAAGGGTAATCTCTCTTTTCTCTGACTGCTTTTAGTATCTTTCCTTTCCTTTGGTATTTTTCAGTTTCACCACAAAATGTCTGAGAGAAGATTTCTTTTTATTGTTCCTGCTTGGGGCTCCTGACTCTGTGGATTGTTATCATGCATCATTTCTGGAAATGTATCACCCATTTTCAAATATTCTCTCTCTTATATCCTCTCATTCCATTTTTTACAGAAAACCCTGATTATGTGTATAGCTAAAGCTTCTTATTTTGACCTCCATATCTCTTAACCTCTCTTTCATATTTTTCACGTCTTTGTCTGTTTATGGTACATTTTTGCATCATGCTTTCAGGCATATTTATTTCAGATAATTAATTTTCTTTTCATCTTTATCTCCTGTGTTTTAAACAAGTGAGGGTCAGGGGTACCTGGCTGGCTCAGTGGGTTAAAGCCTCTGCCTTTGACTCAGGTCATGATCCCAGGGTCTTAGGATCCAGCCCTGCATCGGGCTCTCTGCCCAGTGGGGAGCCTGCTTCCTCTTCTCTCTCTGCATGACTCACCACCTACTTGTGATCTCTCTCTGTCAAATAAATAAATAAATAAATATCTTAAAAAAAAAAAAACAAACAGAAAACGAGTGAGGGTCAGCCTGTATTATGACTCTCAATGAAGATTATTTTTCTCTTCTGTAAGAGAAAATGTTTGAGAAAATCTAGTTTACTCGCAGCCACCTGGAGGGTATTATTTCTGGTTTGCCTTTTCCGTGAAATTTAGCCTGTGACTCTTGTTTTATGAGGAGAGTTTTCTGTTAGAATTCCCACCTTGGGTAGGCCCAGAAATTTGCCTCCTGTGTCCTTCCCCTGCAAGACCATAGAAACAGAAACTCAAGTTTATTGGGGTTTGTCAAATTTACTAAAAATAAAATCCAGTTTCAGGACTCTATTTACCTCTCTGGGTCCCTAGTATATTTTGCTTTATTGCTATGTCAATGATACACTCTAAAGATTTTTTAAAAAGATTTTCTCCTGATTTTTTAGTTGTTTTATCATGTTTTCTGGGTTCAATCAAGTTTTCTCTTTCCCCTTAAATCATAATTTCCTATGCCTCCTTGCTGATTAAATGAGTCTTAGCACTTTAGGAAAAAGACAGATGGAGTCTGAAACCAAGAAGTCATTACTTAGGCCCCCGAAGATGTTCTTATATTTAGACTTACATTTAGATGTTCTTATATTTAGCAGTAAAGCTACAATTTAGATAGCTGAGTTTCATTGAGTGAGAAAAGAGTTCTTCAAAATACCAGAGGCTGAGGGTTGGGCACCCTGACCAGTAGCTAGGTGAATTATGTGTCTGAGACTTGGGTTTGTAACACTAGTGAAAACCAACATGGAGCCAAGGGTGGAAAAATGGCACTGAGAGACCAATAGACCCAGAATAAGCCAAGAAAAAAAAAAAAAAAAACACCCAAAAACTGTGAATTGCACTAATTGTAGATTTTTCTCCAGAGGTTCAGGGAAAACAGAGTCTGAAACAGAGAGAGCAGGCAGCATAATTATACCTTAACTGGTGGTGGTCAGATGCCAGCAGGTTGCCCAGTGGCCAAAGAGCACAAGAGGCACATACTTAGAGGCCTTGGAGGATCAAGGCCAAGTACTCATAGATAGACCATGGACCCCTATACCAAGGGTATACAGTTTGTTGAATTTTCATCTACCAGAAACCACACTGGGAAGCAGAAGGGAGGAAGGATATCCCTTAAAACAAACAACAGTTCTGGTAAGAAATTTGAAACTTCAATTTGACTGAGTATGTATACAAAAGGATATAGCTTAAAAAAACAAATTAAAAAATGCTGTATTAAATTGGAAGAAACTGGAACACCTCTTATTGGAATATCAAGTTTTCACCACCAAATGGAGTGAGAGGTGGACAGGGATGCTTCATAAGGAAGTTTTCTTTCTTATATAGGAAAAGAGAAAAAATTATAATTATTGCAAATTTCATTGCAGATATTGTGCTTAGATTTTCAAATCTCAGTATATAAATAAAGCAATTTGGTTAATTAATTAAATGATGTATGGTAATTATATTAGGAAACCTAAGTTAACCTGGTTCCTTTAAAATTTATCATTAAAAAGGTACATTTTTGCTAATGACCTGAGATTTGACAACTAAATGGTCTTAGGAAAAGAAATGGACTACTCCAAAGTTCTAT